AAAAAAGAAGAAGAAGGAAACAGGTCTGGGGGTTTGTTTTTTTGTTGGGGGGTGGAGTGTTGGTTAAGATTTATTTCCAACACTACCTGAAAACACTGAAACACTGCTCTCAGTTGCACCAGCTATTTGGTAACACCTTTCTTTGCACTGTCTTTGCATTGACATTTGATTTTTAACTGAGCCGGGTCTGACTCAGTTTTTGTGACTCGTCTTGCAATTAAGGCAGCTTGTCGGTTGATTTGCTTGTCAGTAAAGACCTTAAAATGACTTTCAGGTGGTCTTTCCTCCCTCCCCTACAACTGCCCAGACACATTCTACGTCCCCCTGTTTTCTGGCAGAGTCCTGGTGGCCACAGACAACCCCGTGGGCTTAGGGGAATTTGCCTTCTCATTGTTTTCCCCATCCTCCTCCGGTTTGAGCAGATCTCTGGGAATCTGAAGATTCAGCTCCCTTAAACTCAGCTCTCCTGCTTTCTGAACCAATAAAACGGGCAGAGCTTCATCCCTGTGTTCTCACCTTCGTACTGCTTTGGAAGTCACACGGAAGACAATTTTTTTCAGCTTTTTGACAAGTGGTGCTTGAAGCATGTGAACGCTTATTTGACTTTTCCTCATTAGTACTGGTGGCATATTTTAAAATATTACTGTCTTCCTTTAAGCCTTCTATTCCTGTAATACTGTAACATCTCACTTTTAAGATGGGAAACAGAAACTTCAGCCTGGGCACACTGCTCAGAAGTCTGTAGTTGCATACTTTTGAAATATCTTTGTTTTAATGAAAATACATTGATTAAAAGCTAAATTAAGTATGAATTCTTATTTTGGTCTTTCATATTATATTTTCAGTTCTCCGGACTGTGACTAAGGATGGTGTGCTTTAGCTGAAAAGAGATTTTTCACACGTGTTTAAGCCATTTTATTCAGCCTGAGAAGTGCTGGGTATGGGATCCCATGAATTCTCCTCTAGTGCCTTCCCTCCCATTGGCATGCTGTTCTTCACCAGCACTGTCTGCAGTTTAGACTGCCATCTCCAGTTCATCCCTGATATTGTTTAATATGCATCTGATATATTTAATAGGCGCACCGCATGCATATTTATTTATATGTCTATAGATACACGTGTAGATATATGCATGCATGCATATGTATATCTATTGTTGTTTAATATGTATCTAGATTATAAGGTGTTAGGCATAGCACTGCTTAGCTGGATTCAGTTGCTCACCCGTCATCAGCTGAGAGTCAGAGGGATGCCTGGCTCCTTTGAACCACGCTGACAACGTTTCGCAGCACTCGCAGATGTCTGGAGCCGATGCGGGTCTTGTACGTGCCCTTTCTGAACGTCCCCGATACATGTGCCGGGCCACCTCTCAGCTGCTGAGAAACCTGATGCGATCTTATTTTATAGCCGGGCTCTAAGGGAATTGTATATTATGGGCCTAAAAAAAAGTTATTGATTTCTGAAATGTTCAGACAGAAGATATTTTGAGGTTTATTTTCTTAAAAAAAAGATTTAAAACCCCACTACTTTGGATGCGGATGCATAAAAAGATCGTGTGGGCAGACTTTTCGAACTAGACTTCTGCTGCATAGTGGTCACATCTTTTCTTTCTTACTTGCCAGAACCCAAGTTAAAGAGCTTTTCTTTCTTCTGGAAAAAAACGATAATTTCACTGTACCTCATGTTTAGTAACTGTCATCGCTTCTACTTCCTGATTTCATTTAGCAAAGTCATCAACAGTCGTATAAGAAACGAGGAACCCCGAACTCAGTTTATGGCAAACAAATTAGTAGTGTTTGCACTTACAAAGTATTTTGAGGTAGGAACTGGGGTACCTGAGGGGTTGTGTGAGAAAACACTTAAATGAGTGAGATAATTGAGTGGCAAATCTTAGCAGAAAGGTAGAAGACTCTTTTCAAAATTATTTTTGTCCAACAATCACTTCAGCTGTATTCTGTGCCTTGATTTAGCCTTGACTTAGCAAATGAGTGCCTGGAGCCAGATGACACTTAATAAATTTGGGGCTCTTCATAGTACTGAACGCTTTGCTTCTTTCACTCGTGAAATGTATGTTTGAAGGCTTTGTATTAATACTTGGCACTCCTGTTGAATGGATTTGAACGAGGAAAGACAACTTGTGTTGAACAGAGCCTGAACTGTGAGCTTTCTGCAATGTCAGCTTACGTGCTTCTTTAATAGGGGCAAGAGAAACATAATTTGTCACGAGTGCACAAAACAAGTCAGGAGTCAAGATATCCTAATGGATATTTGTTCTTCACCTCATGCAAACATGTGGATTTCGACACATGATTTTTCTTTCATCATCATCATCATCATTATTATTATTATTATTACTATTACTATTATTACTATTATTATTATTATTATATTCTGTGTGTAGCAGCCAATGGGAAATCCATTGGAGTGTGCTACTGGGAGCCTGAAGAGCTGGACTCTGTTGGCAGTTTGGGTTTAAAATATTTTATGCTTCCTGTAAAAACACCAGAGATTCAGGAGTGGACTGCAAAAAATTACTGCAAAATATTAATAACTGCTCTAATTCCAGGGGAAGAAGAAACAGTGGTGCTTAAAGGAAGAGAGGCATAAAATTAATAACTGTGCTCTAAGCAGGCAGTTGACGGTGTTTTGATCTTCTAGTAATATAAGGGATATAAAGAAAGGACCGCTCAAAGAACACACACAGTCCACTCCAGTCTTTCAATAAGACAGCTTAACAGACTGAAAAATTTAAAAAAAGCCCCATAAAACATCTCTGTCTTTCATACATCAAAGGAATTTATTGTAGTTCTTTTTATGATATTAGCAATAATATTCTGAAAATTAAAATATGTAGAGAAAAATTTATAGAAGTGAAAAAATTGCTTAGTGTTTTGTTTTACTAATATATAAGAGAATGTGTGATGAATATTTTGATGTATAAATAACTGCATGATGGAATAATGTTGACATTTTTTAGATGTAGCTTATGTGTTAAGTATTTCTTGCCTTTATAACTGGAAGGGGAAGTTGAAATATTTGAAATGTGGTTTTCTCTGGTATGTGATTAAACTATAAATGACCTTTTTGCAGTTAAAGGCCATCTGTAGATTCTAATTTTTAAAGTTTCGTGATTTATTAGCAGGAAAAACTTCTGTCGTTCCTTCACTAATATTCCGACACAGGAAATGGGATCCCTTAATCAGCAGATCCTGCCACCTTGGATTGCAGAAGACACAGCCAGCTTCAAGTTTCCCCATTCAGCTTCAAGTCCCATAGCATAGTCTAGAAGAAAAAAAAAAAGTGAATCTTGGTGCTTTTGCTACTAGATGAGAAGGTATTAATTTGTAAAAGTACAGATTTATTTTGGTTTAATGTCTTTATATACTGTAAACATTCTGGAAAAGCTACTATGTTTTTTTCCGTGATGACTTTTTCATTGCCAGACTAGAAATTCCCAGGACACAGTGGCTATTACCAGTTGGAAAAATACTCCGTGATTTTTTGTTATTTTGGTACCACTTAAGAAATACTACCTTAAAATGCTGGAAAGTATTATCCCACCCAATACAGATTGTGGAAACACACCAGAAACAGATCCAAACAAATTGCAATATACAGTGTGTGTCTACGTAAATGTTTGTAACCTGTGTAGCACCAAAAAAAAGCAGGGATCAGTGGTGTTAACTCAGTGGTGTTAACTGGCCACTGAATTTTTGTCACATTCTGTTGACAAGTCTCGTTTTGTGAAGAAATGCCTCATCGAGAGAGTCATGGAAGAAGAGAAATGCGTTTCGCAAAAGTACAATTTTGTGACTTGACGATTATGCGTTATTGGCGCTATTTTAATAAGACAAACTTATTTCTTGTGCCATACAGTATCTCCCAAGGTGGGGGCGGGGTGGGAGTTTTACGGTTCAGGACTCTGCCGGGCATTGCACACGCAAATATACACAAGCAAATTGTTTCGTACCTCTGATATTATCCCAGCAAGACGCTCAGGCAAGTAAACGGCAAAAAAAAACCAACACCAAAACCATCCTACATGGGCCCTTTTTGGGCTTCAAGTCCTGTTGCACGGTGGAAATACCGCTTGAAATTCTTGTATTGAATCGTAAAGACGCGGAAAAAAGTTGCACGTCCTTCTTTTTCCTTTTTTTTTTTTTTTTTATTTGGTCTTTTCCCTCTTTTCCCCCCT